TTTGCTCTTGTTGAACCTCATGAGGTTCACCTGGGCCCACCTCTCCAGCCTGTCCAGGTCCTTTTGGATGACATCCCATCCCTCTGGTGTATCGACAACACCACACAGCTTGGTGTCATCTGCAAACTTGCTGATGGTGCATTTAATCTCCCTGTCTATATCATTGATAAAAATGTTAAACAGTATTGGCCCCAGCACGAACCCTTGATCCAGTGCCAGTGAGGCTGGGGGGGGGCCAGGGGGAGGGGGGAACATGGACCCCCCATCCCTGGGGTTCTCTGAAATCCTCCCTCCCCCTTGGCTTTTGCCTTTGCAGCCAGTGTGAGCGCAACCCCTGCCCGATGGAGAGCCGGTTGTGCCACCAAGCGCCCAAAACCATCTCCTTCCACTACCTGCCCCTACCATCCAACCTGCTGACCCCCACCCCGCTCTTCCGCATGGCCACGGCGGCGGCGCCCGGTCGGCCGGGACCCGACAGCCTGCGCTTCGGCATCGTGGGGGGCAACAACCGCGGCCACTTCGTGATGCAGCGCTCGGACCGTCAGACGGGAGAGCTCATCCTGGTGCAGAGCCTCAAGGGTCCCCAGACCATCCACGTGGACGTGGACATGTCCGAGTACCTGGATCGCGTCTTCCAGGCCAAGCACGTGTCCAAAATCACCCTCTTTGTCTCCGCCTATGAGTTTTAGGGGGGGGGGAGTGGCAGTCAGGGCAGCTTCCCTTGACGGTGATGGTCCCTGCTCTGCATCCTCCACCCGAAAGCGCTAGCCCTGGAGGCAGGCGTGTGATGGGAGCTCCAGGTGACATCCCATGCCAAAGCCCCTCTGCAACCAATCGTCCTCCCCTCTGCCTTAAGGTTATCCTGCCCAGGTGGCTTTTACACCCACCTATGTGGGAGAAACTGCAAATGAGGTGCAAAAGAAACCAGGGGCAGGGGTTACCTGCTCTCTGGGGAATGGGAGCGAGAGCATCCTCACCCGAGGCTCCAGGAGGACGATGTCCCACAGCCTCAGTGCCTACGCAGTGCAGAAAACAAGGGCTAGAAGCCACAGCCCGTATTTCCTTTTCAATTTGTTTTTTTCTTTAGGAAAGAAGTTAAGCTGGTTCGTGCAGGAGGAGGGAGGCTCACAGTGGCCACCGCTCTCCTCCCCGCTGGCCCAGGCACAAGCACGCCTCCGCTCCCCTGGGGGTGCCGAGAAAACCCATGGCAGCCCCTGGGGAGGGGGCTGGTCCAGCATCTTAATCCCCCAGGATTGACTGGGAGCAGAAAAATCCCCTGAACATCTATCCCTACAAGACCTGGCTGGCCCTCGGTGCCCTCCGTGGCAAGTGGGACGTGTCTGGTGGGTGAAGGAGGAGTCCCAGTGCCCTGCCAACTGGTGCTGGCTGGGGCTGTCCCGTGCTTCAGCCCTCGGGCAGCAGCTCCTTCCACCTCCTCAACTGGGTTGCGTGCGTGCATCCCCCCCTCCGTGACCTCAGCGAGGGCTTCGGGCTGGCATCGAGGGTGCTCGAGGTGTGAATATTTCATGTTTCAGTCAGCTGCAGCCTCCCCCCCACCCTGTGTAGAACAGCAGCTCCAGGAACAGCTGGGCTTCGGCTGTGACACGTGCTGGTGGGGAGGGAGACACCTCCCCGGGTCTTGCACCCTTCGCCGTTGGTACCCCCGTTCCTCGGCGCGGCGCTTGTGCATGTTAACCACAAACCCCTGACATTATGCATGTTTCTCCATTATGCTGGTTTTAGTACCATTAAAGGATGATATAGCCTCTGAGCAGGTGCAGAGCAAAGGACCTGACGTGCGTGCAGCTGGAGGGTGAGGTGTCCTGGGGTCTGTGGGGGTCTCATGGGGGGCATCCTAGGGTCTGTGGGGCACGAACCTGCCTCCATCAGTTTTATTTTTCTGCCTTATGTTGCTTGGAAGGGGCTGGCTGGTGGCAGGGTGCTTCATCCCCAAGTATCCTTCCCCCCGATCATCTTCCAGAGGCCTCAAGGAGCCTGCTGCCACCCCCACCAAAAAAGGCAGTGGGGCAGAGCCCCCCCGGGCACACAGCGTGTGCTGAGCTGTACCCCCTAAAATCCTTCCCACTCCTGGCCCCGGGGGAAGAGACTTCACGAGATCCATCTGTGCTGCCCTCTTTGGGGGATCAAGCTCCTGATTTTTCGGGGGGGGGATATGGCTTTTCTGTGGAAGCTGGAGAGGGGGGCAGGACCTCTCCCTGCAGAACAAGGAGGGACATTGAGAGCCCGCTGCCGGCTCGGGGCTGCTGGAGCCCCGGCACAGCAGAGGGAGGATGTTTGGGTTGGCGGGCACCCCAGCCGGACGGTGGAGCTGGGCAGGGAAACACATCCCAGGGCTGTGCTGGAGGAGGGAAATGAAAACCCAATAGGCTCACTCCTCCACCCCCAGTGCTTAAAAAAAAAAAAATATAAAAAAAAGAGAAAGGACTGGCTGGTGGGGCAGCTCGGTGCTGCCTCCCTCAAAGGGGAGGACCTCCCTTTCCTGCTGAGGACACCCCATTCCTGCTGAGGACACCCCAATAATCCTGGGGTGTCACAGGAAGCTGTCACCATGCAGCTGGCCTCAGCATGGGCAAAGAGAAGGCTTTTTGGACCTGGCCTGGGAAGGCCCAACAGGAGGTTGTGCTGCAAGAGAAATGAGTTGCAAGGTGGACAGGGGACATGCCCAGTTTTATTCCCTCAGCATGCATGGGGATGGATGAAGCCTGCCAGGGGCCAATTTCCTTTAGAGCTCTGCAGCATAAGAGCAGAGAGGTAGATGTATGGGACTCTGCCAAAGGCAACACAAAGGGTCCCGGGATATGGGGAGAAGAAAAACACATGGAGACAATTTGGTCTGTGGGGGTACACCTGGGGAAACCCAGCTTTACCTTCCCTGGGAGCCTGGGGGTCCCAGCTCAGTGCACAGCCCAGGCTGTGATCAGAGGATGATGCCAGGCATCGTCAGAGGAAGGACAGGGAATGGGCAGGACACACTGCTGGACTGCCCTGCTGTGTGCCTGCATCCTGGGATGCTCTGAGCAGCAGGTGATGAGGTTTTCCTCGGAGCTACTTGGATCCTGGCCAAGCCGTGTTTCATCCAGGAAAGGGAGCAGTTGTCCCCGTGAACCCACCCTGGTGCGTGTTTTCAATTAGTGTGTTAGATAAGAGAGCAGTGCTGTGGGGGCAGGAGAAAGAAGGCTACAAAGCCAGCAGCCCAGAGCCTGTCCTTTGCTGCAGGCATGGCCTGCCCTGCTGTGGTTGCTCAGCCTGGTTGGACGCGCTTCTGCGATGGGCTGTTACGGCGTTTCAGGGATGGGAAGGAACTCCCTGGATGTGGGGATGTGCTCCTCCACAAGATGCAGAAAGGGAAGCTGGGGATGTTCCAGGAGCAGCTCCTGGTGCCTTACCTCTGCTGTCTCCATCACCTGCTCCTAGCTGTGCCACCTCTGACGGGGAATATGTTTTATCATCCCTGCCCTGACAGCTCTTTACACCCCCGCCTCGCCGGGCTCTGGGAGCCAAAAACCAGGAGCCTGTAAGAGGATAAGTTCCTGACAGGGCAGAATAGTTTCCGTCTGATGCTTTAAGTGGCTAACGAGGCTGGAAACAGGCACTTGAAGCTTTGCACTGGAGCCTTTTTCCTCACAGCACAACCCCAAACTGATTTCTTAATTTCTGAGGCCAGGGTGAACTGGTTTCCCCTCTCCAGGACAGTCTGGCATGCTGCTGGAGCTTGCCAAGCCTTGCCTGTCCTCCCAGCTGCTTCTCGCCCTCCTCAAGGGCCAGGACCAGAGCGGGAAGCTCAGCTATCTCTCCCAGCATTAGCTGGCTGTGGATTTCCCTTTCAGCCACAGAAACATCTAAGGTCAGCTCTCCAATGTCTGGACTGGGCTGCAAACCTCTGGCCAGCATTTGAGCTGACTAAAGGAGATTTTTTTCCCATCCCAGAGCAGCCGCTCCGGCATCTCGCAGACTTCTCGAGCCTGGAATGTGCAGAGAGATGCTCTTCTGGCCCTGCTAAATACAACTTCTCTTTGGGATAATCATATTTCGGAGCTCAAAAAATAACTGGTTTGCCTCTGCTCCCCTTCCGTGGGCTGAAGGCAGGCAGCTGACTCCAGATGTGCTCTGTGTGTCCCGGGAGAGGCTGGCTGCCCTGGCCAAACCCCAAAGCCATCTTCTCTCACCCCAAATAACTGGGGGTGAGGATGAAGAAGCTGAAAACCTCATGCAGGGGTGGCCTTGGAGGGAGGCTACACGGTGCCCATTAGGTTCAAGGAGAGAAATATGGTGCTTTTGAATTTCCAAGGTCTGCATGGGAAAGTGTTCCCTCTCCTCTTCACCCCATGAGGTGAGACAAGCCCCAGCCTCAGGGCAGGGACGAGAGAAGGCTTCATGTCCCGTTTCTTCCTCCTCCTCCTCCTTCCAAAATGCATTCCTGATGGGCCTTTCCCTGCTGAGCATCCACAGTCCTGAGCATCCCTGGGCTTCTCTTCACCTTCTGTCCCTGCAAACAAAAGAAAGATAATTATCTCTTTAACACAGAAGAGAGCATCAGGTTATTTTCAACTGCAGGTTAAAATCTGAATTATATCACCTAACCAGGTAGCATCCCTGAGAAGCCTGTGCCTGGCGCATGGCACATCCATCAGTGCTGTCATGTCTCCTCCCACCTCACAAATTTGTATCACAGTTCAAATCCTTGCTGAAGCAAAAGCAGAAGCACACGTGCCAAAACACTTATTAATCCTGTTACAGGCTTTAATGAAGAGCTGAACCATTTTTGTTTGTTATGGTTGCTAGGGATGTTGCTACGCTCCCCACACCATACCCCAGATCCCAGTATATTTGTGATATCCAAGAGTGCATGCATACTGGGGAATTTGTTTAGCCACTATTGCCAAATTTAGTCACACTTTGAAAAAAATAGAGCCATTCAGGAGCTTCTCACAAGGGTACCTTTTTCCCCTGACAACGCAAACACACATAAGGGTACTTAAACAAACAGCTGCATGTTTGTTTAAAATGTATTTTTGCACCTGCACACTTTGCAAGAAACGTAGGAGCCGGGCTTTTATTCTGAATTTGAAATTCCGTTTTTTTTTTTTTTGTCTGTTGCCCAGGGAGACACTGCTGAGCCCTCTGGGCACTGGCTGGCTCCTGGACTGCCACCACACTGAGATGCTCACATGCCGATGGAACTAATTAGCCTTAATTAGCCCTAATGGCCCTCCCCAGCCCCACCTGAGGCCACCACCCACGTCCTTCCCATGCTCCTTGGGGCTCTATTTCAGTCCTGGAGCTGGAAGGGTGTTTGTCTCCAGTTCAGGTTAGATTCCTGGGTTGACTTGTGTGATGATCTGGATCCTTGGTTGAGCTTGGCCGTGATTTTCTGCTCATGTTGCTCAGGTACTAGCCAGAACATGGACAGAGAGTCTTCTTTCCTCATGGATGTGAGGCCATGCTTTGCCTCTGTGCAAGGGGAAAAAATGTCCCTCCCGAATGGGAACCAGTGTGGGTGTTATTTTTTAATTTTTTTTTTTTTTTGCTAGGATTGTTGGCACTGGAAAAAGAGAGTCATATGTCCTGAAAAGCCCTGTAAGCCAGGGAGACTAGCCTGTAAAGGAAAATAAGTTGATGTAACTTGCTTGGGATTTTTCCAGAAAGTTTTGACAAAGTCCCTCAAAAGACAATGTTAAAAGCAAAATCGTTAAAGTGGTTAGAGAACAACAAACAAGCTTCTCCTGGGGACTCTGAACTCCTGAGTCAGCAGAAGCGGGGCAGAAATAAAAGGCCAGCTCCCAGCATGTGGAGGTCCAGCAGGTGGGACGTGTCCATCTGGGTGCCAGTGTTGTTGCAACCAGACGCGTGAAGTTTATGGAAGCAATGATGAGCAATGAGGTGACAGCGTTTGCAGCTGAGGCTATTTATTTGACTTGGACAAGACCATCCTGAGGTGAAGGTGGTGAACTTGGGAGACACAGGACTAGGAGAAAAGGATGAAATCCACTGAAAATGGGAAACGACGTGCCCAGAACGGGATGCTGAGAGGTGTCCCCTGGGTTAGAGTGGCCAGAACAGGGGGCACAGCAGCCTGGGGCGGGCTGGGATGCAGCTGAGGGTGCAGGTCAGGCCCACGCTGGCTCCAGCACAAAGTCACACTTTTTACCGTCGAATTATCAACACAAACACCACCAGTTTTTGTGGGTTTGGTTTTTGTTGTTTTTTTTTTCCCCCTCATTACTGGCTTCAACAATCTTCCTCAGCATTTCACACCGTATCTCTATTAGGGATTTCTTCACGTGTTTCGAATTTTGCCCTTTTCAATAAAATAAGTCACCGAAGCTCTGCTAACAAAAGCGTGTTTTCCTTTACTCCTTCACCGCTTTCGCAGAGGTGAGGGTTATTGCCCCTCTGACCTCTCTGCTGCCGGTTTTAGCACTGTTTTATCGCCCCCGTCCCTAAGCGCCGGTTCCACGACCCGTCTGGGCTGACGCGCCCCTTTTTTCTTAGGCCCCGTGTTTCAAACGCTCCCCGGGCTGAGGAAGCGGGCGCTGAGGGGCCTTTCCCTTGCGGTGAGGACGAGCCCTACCGCCGCCGCGGGGCGGGAACGGCGGCTTTTAACGAGAGAGGCTGCTCCCGGTGACTAATGAAGGGCGCGGGGCGGGCGGGAGGCAGGGCCCGCTCTGCGGGGGGAGGGCCGCCGGCTGAGGGAGAGGCCGGGCCCGGCTCGCGGCTCTCGCGAGGCGGAAGAGGGGCGGGGG